CTAGCTGCGCTGCGCCACACAAGCTGGGCGAGGATCTCCGGAAAGGGGAGGGGGGCTGACTGCACCCCGAAAGGGCCATATCAGGCCTCGAGGCAAGAGTTTCTGCACTGCTCGCCCCGCCGCGGAGCAGGAACCCCACCCACCCCGGGGCACCCGGATTACGCACGGTCTAGACTGCAGACTGGGGGAGGGGCGGTTCCCGGCGGGTTCTAACTAAAGTTGTTTTCCGCGACCACCCTGACTAGCTTGCACTCTCCTGCAGTGCAGTGGGTCGAGGGGAGGCCCACCACACACACACCCCAGCTCCTACCCCAGGGAACGCTCCCTTCCTGTGCCCTCCTTCCGCCACCGCCAGACCCGGGGGCTGAAAGGGTCTCCATCGCTGTCGCCACTTCCCACACCATCCTTTTCGGTCCTAGGCGCCCCGAAATCTGAGTTCTGCCCCTCAGCGACCCAATTCTATGCCTCAGAGTTTGAAACCAATAAAACCCTTTCTGTGGGTGGTGAGGTGAGTGCACCTGCCCAGCTGGAGACAGCGCGACGGCCCCTCCTTCCTCCAGTGTGAACTGCGCTGGGAGTCCGTCTCCCCTCCCCTCCTGCCAAGCTTTCTTGACATCCTCCTCTCCCAGATCTGGCTGTAACTACCTTCGTGACCACGCCTTCTGCTCTCCTCCCTCTACACTAACCTGGGGAATTTCTGCTGAAGCCTGACAATAAATAGGCCCCTGACTTTCAAATTTGTGTGTCCTTGGTACCAGCTGGGTAATAGGTGGTGCTTACGAGGTTATATTCTTCTCACTGCTTTTGTTTATAATTTTCTGCTTAAAAAATAATCTCTGTTTCTAGCCCAAATCGGGGCTTATTAGTCCAGCTGTGTCTCCAAAGTCCCTTCTGGAACATCTCCAGCTAAAATGGGATTGGGGTTTCCTGCCCTAGCTCTAGTCGGAGTACCAGGCGCGTAAGCCAGAAGGACAGCAACCTCAAATTCCCCACGTCAAATTTATCACTAAATCCAGGGTTTATATCTCTGGAAATGAGTCTGAAATCCGCCAGCCCCACCCGACCCCATTGCACTTTCTACGGCCAACTTCATCTGGGTCCCATCACCTGTCCCCACTTCACTCTTGCCTCCCACCTGTCCCTTACCCTGAAATTTCTTTCCATGGCTCTTGGAATAAAATTCAGCCTGGTCACCTAAACTGCCCCACCCACCACCCATGAGGGAGACAGTGCTGTATCGCTTGTGGATGTGGTCATTTTCTTGGGAAATCTTTTAGAAGAAAAATGGCTGCAAATGTTTTCCTTCATTTTTTACAGCTTTAGGGGTAGTACCACCTCCTGAAAATGTCAGGATGAATTCAGTTAATTTCAAGAACATTCTGCAATGGGTCTCGCCTGCTTTTACCAGAGGGAACCTGACTTTCACAGCCCAGTACCATAGGTGAGTCTTTGAGGCTCTTGGCAGGAAGGTGCGATAGGACAGTGACCCTGGGCTAGTTCTGGGCTAGGCCACAGGATGGAAGGAATCTGACGGTGTCATCTGTGTGACTGTAACAGCCCAGGGGAGCCTCCCTGCTGACCTTTTTCTCTCTGTGCAGGGGATTCTTAGGGTCATCCTTTCCCTCTTTTGATTTATTGTGTTTGTTCATGGTTTGTTTATAATAGGGTTGTGGGTAGATAGATATTTTATCTTGTGTGTAGATGGATTAGCCACAGTGGTGCTGTGTGGATCCGAGCTCATCTGTCACAGTTGATGTTGTTTAAGAACAAAATGTTGTTGCTGTCATCTGCGGTTATTGGAGTCGTATTGTTAGAAGCCAACAGTATACAAGTGGAAGCCGTCCAAAAAAACCAAGGCCTGCAGAGCAGTCAGGAAGACCCTTGGTACTATACCAGCTGCCCCCCGCCCCAGTGGCACAGATGAACTGAATTGCACAGTGGGCCCTCAGTGTCCGTGCAGCTGCCTCCCAAAATTGAAAGTCAGACAGCTGTCGGCTGGCAACAGCCCTTGTTCGGAAGGATGACAGTCACCCTAGACGATTATCTCAGCAGGACTGTCCTGCCTAACCGTATTTCCCTGGGTCTAGTGAAGGAAGTCCACACCAGCTCTCTCTTGGCAGCCTGCCACCATCTGCCACAGGCAGACAGGGACACACCTTCACCCAGGTACACACGGCTGCTGGGTGAGCTGACATACATGCTTCCCGTGTGACTCAAACATAGGAAGTGGGCAAACCCTTTGGGGAAGCAGGAGAAAATCCCCGTCTAGATTTTCTTAATCTGCCCTCCTTCCATGTAGCTATTGTTTTAGGAACGCACCCGAGGCCTTCAAGGCCAAACACCTAGAAAAAAGAATAAGCTAATCTTCATCCACATGTTAGGTTTTTAAAAATTTGTTTTTGGGGGCTAGGGATTTAGCTCAGTGGTTCTACCGCCTGCCTCGCAAGCACAAGGACCCAAGTTCAATCCCCGGTACCAGAAAATAAAATTGGTTTTGGTTTAAAATAAGTTCATATTATTACGTGAGGTGTGGTGGCACACGCCTGTAATCCCAGAATTTGGGAGGCTGAGGGAGGCTGAGGCAGGAGGATCGCTGTGAGTTCAAGACCAGCCTGGGCTACAAAGTGAGTTACAGGTCAGTCTCAACTACATAGTGAGGCCCTG